TTTTTTTTTGAGTAGTTCATGCTGTCTGGCCTGGACCGATGTCTTGAGATGGGAAGGCGCTTGGTTGCCTTTACAAACCCAGGGCAAAGGAGGTGGGGGATTGTGAGAGGAGCGAGGGAGCCTCTTTAAAGGAGGGTGGGAGACCTGGCCTCTATCTAGGCATGGAGTTGTGTGATGAGAGCGCTTGAGGCTTTTGAAGGATGGGGTTGGGGTGGGCAGCGGAAAGTGTTTGCGTTTGATAAAAAGGCCTCGTGGGGCTCACTGTGTGAAAAATGCGTCCACTAAGTAGAGTCGGGAGTTCCCTGGAGTTGTGGCAGGTAAGGGTTGTGCCTTGTGGACATGGAGGGAGCAGGGGATTCCAGAGGCCTTTCAGAGACAGCCTTAGTTGATGGAGAGGGAAGGGTGAAGGGATGACCCTCAGGCTCCTGACTGGAGCAGTCCAGCCTCAGCGAGATTAGGAGCAGATTGGAGAGGAGGGTCACCAGGGCTGTTGGACAAGTGGACTTCGAATTTTTGAGTAGATGGTAGATCTCGTGGGAGGGCATTTGAGTTCTTTTGGTGACAAATAACAGAAGCCGAGGGGAAAGAAACTAGGGAGGGTGGACTTCTGAGTTTCCTCCTGGAGTCCAAGAGCCAAGCTTGGCTGTCCTCTCTTTGCTCAGRCTGACCTTACCTAGCAGGGGCAAGCCTTCTAGCTCTAGCAGGTAACTAAAAAGAAGGTCAGAGGCATGCCAGTGAGATGCTTGTAGTTTATTGTAGAGAGCAAGACCAGGCAGGGTGCAGCAACAGGGGCTTGGTAGTTGGACGTTTCTGGTTTCCAAATATGGTGGGCTTTGCATTTCTAAACCCCAGCACATCGTGGACTTTTTAATATTTTGTCCTGAAACAAAGAATGGAACAAAATCCCAATAGAGTAGTGAGTGAACCTCAGAGTAGGAGGAGTAAGGGGAGCTGTGTATGGTGGCACATGCCCGAGGTCCTAGTTCCTTGTGAGGACCCAGGAGTTGAGACAGTGCCAACTGAGGCAACAGAGTGAGACCCCATCTCAAAATAAATAAATAAACAAACCAATAAATAAATTTCAAAAAGAGGGGAAATGCAGAGGGAGATGCCCGGGCCAGCTTGCCTGGGCTGTCCTGTGGTTCTCCCCACTGCATGAGAAATGGGGCTGAAGAATGGGGTGACACTGTAGCTGAAGGGCTTGGGGAGGCCACTTGTACCTGCTGTGAGTGAAGGATGCCACTTACTGAGAGCTTCAGGACATTCATTTTGATCCCCACKGGGAGGGTGTCCAGCAGCTTCTTCATCTGGATTCCTGCCTCTTTCATGTCCGGATCAGGGTTGAATGGTTCCACTGAACTCTCGTAACTGGAGAGTGTGCCCAAGAAGAGGGTTTCCATGATATGAAAAAATTCAGGGCAGGTCTCTGCAGAAGCTGGAATATAGCAAAGAGAAAGCACATGGTTGCAGGCCCTTTTCCAAGCTGGCCAGCCCTCTCTGGGCCTGCCCCAGATGCAGACATCCAGGCCCCTCAGCAAGAGATAGCAGCCTTTTGTTGATGCACTAGAATGTAGGATCTGGTGATGCTCCAAGCAGTTGATGATTTGGCACTGTGTGAATACGTTCTAGGTCATGGCCAGCTTTTCATGGCTTGCTCAAGCCATCCTGAGTCTTCCTGGGATGGGATGGCCTTTTATTTTTTCTTGCTGGAGTTCTAGGTAGAGACTGGATAGGAGAAGCTGATGGTCTGATATATTTTTTTTTTTTTTTTTTAATGCAGTGTCCGGGCTGGGAGGAGAAAAATTTGAAAACTTTGGTTTCCACCAGAAACTTGCCTCCCACTTGTGGTTAATGATGGTCTGAGCCACGTGTCACTGAGGGCAAGTGGCAAAACCCTTTACTAGCCCAACATGGGTTCCCAAACCTGGCGGGGAAGACAAAGGCACACGTGGTATTAGGCCTGTGGCACTCTCAGCTCTTTTAGCTCACTGTGTTCCCTTCTGCTGGACTGCTGCCAGATTGTGCTGCCTTCTCAGGTCCCTTCCTTCAGGAGCATGGGGGACAATCACCATTTCCTACGTTCTGCCTGCTTCCAGCTTCCCACTGAGCCTCAAATCCCTGTCCTTGAATTCTCTGCCTTGTGTGCAAATTCAGCCCCACTCCAAGTGGAACCCTCTCCAGGACTCAAGTCCCCTCCTTTCAGTTCACAATGTTACCAGGTGACATACTTTATCTTTCAGTAGCTCAGTTTTCTTCTCTGTAAAATGGGGACAGTATCTTTGCTTCCTTGGGTTGTTGGATGAATGAAGAGAGATAGTRTGTTAAGAGGGTTAAAACCAGAATGATACATTATAAGTGCTAAATAAGTGCTGAGTATTGTTATTATTTTTATTACTGTTGTATGCACATATATGGATATACAAATGTACTCCCAATCCACCCCTTAACATATTTCAATTATATCTTGCTGAGCCACCCACCTCTATGCACTGTCATGAGATCTTCTAATTAATAAACATTCAGTCCAAAATGATGTCATTTCCCCTGAAAAACAAATAAACCTCTCTGCAAGATAGCTGTTCCCACTGCCTCTTGGTTTGGGTTGTCTAAGCCACCAGAGTCATAAAACGTATATCCATGGGTATTATGAAATTTTGCAACTGAATTAATTGGAGTTTGTTTATTAAAAAAAAAATAACAACAACGTTTTCAAATAGGAGTGGAAGAAGTTGATGGAGAGCAGAAAAACACAGTTAGGTAATCCTATTCCCCAAAGACAGGGTGCTGATCTCCTCCCTCCCTCGCCCTCTTCTTCCCTCCTGCCCCCTCTCATTTCCATTCCTTTCTTCTTAGTTACAGCAGTGACTACTTAGGGACGCCTAATCCTTTCTGCAGAGGACAAAATGTTTAGAAAACTCCACTCTTGGTCAGCAGTTTCCCAAGAAAGATCCCTTATTGGAATCTTCCTTTCTGCCCCGAATAAGAGACTTCGCCTTGGGTTGGGTTTCTTTTCATGAGTCTCTGCAGTTTGCCTTCCAGACTCACGGCCAGATTTGGGTGAAGACCCCAAACCCGGAGGTTGTACCAAGGTCTTTTGTCATCTTGGGGACTGTCCCAGGCGGGGCTGGAGGGGCTCATTGTCCCTATCCCATTTGTTCTTGGGTGGATGCCCTTGTCTGCATGGGATCTCCTTCATACCTCCCCCTCAGGCTTTTCCATTCCCTGGAATTTTGAGGTCTTGGGTATGGAAGATGGGGTCCTTCGCAGGTTTTCTTACAGCTTGGTGCTCTGAGAATCAGCATTCCCAAGCCCTCCCAGCACTAGAGAGAGGATGCGGGCAGCTCATCACCCCTTCTTTTGAGCAGAATGAGGTGGTGCAGAGTTTGGGAGCCCACTCTTGGGACCCTGGATACTCACCAGAGCTGCAGCAGAGAGCCAGTAGGACAAGGGTGAAGGTGACTATGAGCTTCATGGTGGGAGGCCCTGGTGATTCTGGTTGTCTCTGGATCCTGTCGTCTTGTGGCCTTCAGAGGCATTGGTGCCCTCTTATATGCTGCAGGCAGTGCCCAGAGGGAGGAGGTCAGGGTGCAGGCTCCACTTAAGAGACTGCATTATTTACTTGGGCATCAGCTCTGTGGAATAAGTAAACACTCTCTTTTCTCAGCCAGTTTCTGTGGTCATTGAAACTGAACTCACATAATGGGCCACCTGGAGGGGGGAGGCCCAGAGTACTGTGTGGAGGTAACAAGGGGAACCTGAGTCAGAGGGCATGAAGCCTGGCCACCTGTGCTCTCTCTGTGAACCAGGCCAGGTGGAGCCCACCTGGACGCACCATCCCAGGAAAGACAGAGGCCCAAGGACCCTCACAGGTGGCAGGGACAGGGCTTGGACGGAGGACCCTGATTCTCCACCGGCTCTTCCACTGCTCCCCTCCAAGGAAGGAGGCTGGACCACAAGCCACAGGTTCCTGTGACTCAGAGCATCCCTGTGGTCAGGGTTGGGGGAGACCTTGGATCAAAGCACATGGACTTCTCCAGCGCACGCATCAGAAATCGAACTCCAGATTTTAAGCTGGATGATGTTGTGCATCAGGCTAGGTCTGTTCCCACCCAGAAGGGCCACCTGCCCTTCTGGTGGCCAGATGCAGGGGCACCTTCAGTCTTATCTCGCTTGACCTCTTACTGGTCTTCGCCCTGCTGACCTTCTCCTCCTCCACCCATTCTCTCCCCCGCGCTCCCACGGCAAGTTCTTTCCTGTTTTCCTTCCCTGGCCATTCCTTCTTGTTCTGTTTAGCTGTTTACTCTTTGCTGACTGGCCTTAAGTGTTGGGAGTTCCCAGGCTTTGACCTTAGCCTCTTTCTTGCCTCCCACGGCCACTTTCTCTGCTTGTTCCCTTCCTTCTCCAGGGCCCATGTTCTATGACCACGGGCCTCCTGGACGGAATGCGCTCCTCCCGGCCTTCCTGCCTCTGCTCAACCATCTCTGAAGGGCCATTGGGATGATCTTCCTAAAGCCCACGGATCATGCCGTTCTGCTTCTTGAAACCCTTTCAAAGCTTCCTCTTGCCAGCAGGATAAAATTCAAGTGCAATTTACAAGGCCTTTGCCCACCAGCCTTTTCCAAACATCTGAACTTCCTTTCTCTGCTCCCCTGCAGGGTACTTTAACTCTCTCTTCCTATTTGTGGACTTGGGCATGTTCCATGTTTTCTTCCCGCCTTTTCACCTTTGCACAAACTCAGCCCCATGCCTGGGATATGAGTTTCCTGCCTTGCCCATTTCTCCAAATCCTATTTGTATTTCAAGGCTCAATTAAACATCCACCCATTCATTTATTCAAAAATTCCGAGCATCTTCTCTGCCCCAGGCACTGTGCTAGGAGTTGGGAATTGGGGTAGACACGGAGGGGCACTGTAGGAGCCCCTTCAAGATGAACTCTCTGCCACTTGGCCTCCAGGAGTGTGGTCAGAAGACAAACTCCAGCTGCCAGTAACCCAGAGAACTGACTTTCTCAAGGTTACACTGTCCCTGGAGGCTGATCACATTTGGTGGCAGAACAAGAAGGGGCTCTAAAAGCCTGGGCATTGCCTTTCCTTGCCTCCCTTCTTGTCTTTTTCTGAGATGGAGTCTTTGTTGCCTAGGCTGCTGCAGAACTTCTGGTGCAAGCGTACCTCCCTCCTCAGCTTCCTGAGTAGCAGGGACAGGTATGCGCCACTGTGCCCAGCAAGCCTGGGCATTTTTGCACCAGGTGAACAAGTCTGGTGGGCAAACCTCCAGAGCCCTCTGCCTGGTTGGCTGAGAAGCAGTTCAGCTTTTCCCTCTGCCGGATCCTGCTTCCATCTCAGGTACAGCTTCCTGGTTACCATCTTGCATTCCAAGCTCTGTCTCAGCATCTGCTGTCCTGACGGTAACTATCCAGGACAGGGATACAGTGGCCACGAACCAGACCCAAATCCCTGTGAAGCTTCACTTGAGTGGTGACGACAGACTAGTAAACCATCAAACARATGAAATAATTACAGGTTGCGATACTTGCTTGGGCAGAACTAAGCAGGGTGCTGAGACCTACTTAGATGGGGGACTCGGGGTGGACTTTCTAGATAGACGGCTTCATGCTGAGGCCCATAGAGGGTTCCAGGCAGAGGAGACAGGCAGCACCAGGGCCCTAGGACAGGAAGGAGTCCAGTGTGCCTGAGAGGCAGTGGCTGGAACATAACAAGCCTCAAGCTAAGAGCTTTAGGCCCYGAGTACTGGGAGCTCTTGAAGATTTTTATCAAGGAGTGACATGCTCTGATTTCCCATCTGCTGAGATGGACCCTGGCTTGGGCATTGGGGTTCAAAGGGTGCTGTTTCCTGTAACAGAAGTCTTGGGAGTAATAGGGCTGGGAGCAGGAACAATGAAGTCTTCGACAGGCTCAGTGATAACTCTCGCTGGGTCTGTCCCCACCCCTGTTTACAGTGCTCACTGTATGTTATTTTAACCTTGGGATTCTTTAGGTGTAAGACTCCTTTGCTGGCTGAATAGGAATCCCTGGCATGGATCAATGAATAAGTCCTTTGCATTATGTTTTATTTGGAGGCCGTGGCGACCTGCACTGTCCGACTTCAAGGCACCTCGACAGGGTTGAGAGCACAGGTTCCAAACTAGCCACAGCCAGGACTTGTCAAGTCAGTGACCGTGTGGCCCTACTGCAAGGCACTGGGTAGCTGAAGAGTCAGGGAAGATCTGAACTGATCAGGAAATGATCTTCTAGACAGACTGCWAACCAAAGCACAGAACAGGGTAAAACTGAGTCAAAAGACACCATGAATGTACTTACTTGTATGCCTGCAAAATATCTCTTCAGTGGACGGTAATGGTTGATTCTAGAAAGGAGAAGCACTTGGAGGGGCCTGAGAGGAGACTTTTCACTATGATTCCTTCGGTAACTTTTTTTTTTTTTGTATAAATTTATCATCAATCCAAAATAATTTTTTTAAGAAGAGAGAACAGGGCTGACACCTGCTACTACTTGGACATTATATTTTGTGAAATAAGCCATTCAGAGAAAGACAGGCACATGTGATTCCCACTTATATGAGATACCTCAGGAAGTCGAATTGATTGAGATAGAGAGTAGAATGGTGGCTATTAGGGTCCYAGGAGAGGACCATGGGGAGTTAGTGTGAAGTGGGGCAGTTTCGGGGTTTGCTTGCTGAAGAAGAGTTTTGCACATCTGCAGGTGGTGGTGGTTTTATAAGAAGGCCAAGGCACTTAAATGTGTTTGAAATGGTAAAATTCATATTAAGTGAATCCTTCCACAATTAAAAACAATAATATAAAAAAAGAGAGAGAACAGGTTGAAGAGTGAGACTAAATGGATTGAGTGTCAGACCCATCGCATTGGAAGTGAATTGCCTTGAGCCAAGAACTTCACCTCTCTCTGTCTCGATTTCCTTGTTGTATAAGGAGCATAATAAGATCATCTATGCTTCTGGCTCTGACCAAGGAATCAWGGAGTCCTAGTACAGAGAGTTGCTCAGTACAGGAGGGCAAGTGCCACATTTTCACATCTCCACCTGGAATGTCTTCCAGATTCCTTGGTCGAGTCTACACATGTGTGAGTCGGGGCAGCAGAGGATCTTGGGTAAGCCTTGGCCTGGGCCATTAGGTTGAGCATTTCCTGAACTGCCCTGCTGTGTCCATCAGCTATACCTCTGGGCTTAGCTGACTCCTTTGCCTCTGGCTTGACCCCAAGACAGGCGTTAACAAGTGAGGTTACTGCAGGAAAGGGAACTTCTAAGGTTGCGCTGTAGGAAAGCCTCCTAAAGAGGCTCAGAATGCCCAGGACATCTTGTATCCTTGTCTTGCAGTCCTAGAGTGAGGACATCTCTCTGTATCCTCCCCCAGAGGAGTAGTTAAACACAAGGCCCTCCTGGTTGCATGGATGACCATTGGCTGTGCAGAGAGTGGCTTGATAAGTGTCATGGAGACAGGAACCTTAAAAATGCCAACATCAAAGGTTCTAGTTTGCTTCTTCCAGGGAATTCTTCACGGTCATATGATAGGAATTAGCTTGTCTTGTGCTTGTTTCTGACATTTCTGCTCCTCTCTGRCTCCTTGTTTCTCTGTGTTTATCCTTTAACCCTTTTTCCTCCCTCCTCCATATTACCTCCCCTCCCAACAAGGCCCTGGCTCAGTGCRGGGACAGCTGGCTTCTGTTGATGGCTTCCCAGGCCCAGCTGGGACCGTGACTCCACCACCAAGTAGCCTAGACAGGCTTCTCCATCCCGGCCCTTGGGAGAGCCCTACCTGGCCATGGTGGGCTTTTCTGCCCCCTGCCCTGGAGCCTGCAAAGCTCCTGCTTCTCTGACCCACCATGAGGGACAGTGAGGCAGAAAGTGCTGATCAAGGGTCAGAGTTCGAGCCTCAGAGTGTTGAGCCTCTTAAACTCAAGCCTCAGCTCTCATCCTCAAAGCCTGCACTGTGCTGAGGCCCAGGCCAGAGCCCTAAGCCCASTTGGCACATGGAAAGGGCGGGAGCCCCCATTTCTGGCTGCTCATGGACCATTATCTGGTCACTTTGCAAAGATAGCCTTCTGGGGGAAGACAAGTCACTCAGTTATTACCACCAAGGGGACAGCAATGAATTGGCACAGTTCCTGCCAATCTTTCCACACCCTCAAGCCCTATGTTGCCTGKGCCTGGATTTGGGAGAGCCCTGATCCCTGGATTGCTGGAGCTTCAAGGGCTGGGCCYGTCGACCTCTGGGGAGCCCGCTGAGATGCTGTAAGCACCTTGGGCCTGGTTCTGGCTTTTAGGAAAGGTCAGGGGAAAGAACTTTACCCAGAGTCTAAGGGTCGAGGGTGCTGAGGGACCTGGAGGCCTGACCCAGCCCCCTTCCCATACAAGGGGTATGTGTTGGTAATACATGTGGGTGCCAGGTTTTTGAGGCACATTCAATAATCCTGCGTGAGGCTTCCCCCAGTCCCTACT